ATGTTTGGTGTGACGGGGATTCGAATCCATGACCCGCAGATTGCGAGTCGAGCTCCCTAACCACCTGGCCATGCCGGGCCACCGAAACGTAGGAGAAATTTCTAATAGTTCATAAAATTATATAACGATTAAAAGCTTCAAGAACTTGAACTAATGTAAAATATGGTGTAACGTTATAAAAAATAAAGATTATCTTATTCTCTAAAACGAAATTTTTTTATAAACAAACAATAATTTATGGAGATTAAAAATCATTCCATAATATAAAAAAATCATTTTTTGTATTACACTCTTAAAATCTAGTTCCTGGATTGTTCAGAATTCATCAAAACAACTGGAAGTACTAGATGGCCAACTTTAAATGTCTGCATCGAAGAGAGGAACCGGATGACTTGTATGAAACTCCCAAGTTTTCCTCTGCGAATTGACACAAAAACGGTAGGTTGCACTAGAGCTTTAGATAAATATAGCTTTGTTTAAAACTTTAGAGAGGCATAGATTTATTTAACATTTTTAAATGAACATAGGCTTCTTTAAAATGCTTAGATAACTGTAACCTTTTTCAAATCTGTGGATAAACCCAGCCTTGTTTGAAATCTCTAGATAACTTTTTTTGCTTTAGAGCAAAGAAAGCTACATTGGGCTAACTTCTGTGTCTACCGCAGGGAATCGATCCCCATATTTTGGCTTTGTAAAACCGTAAACTTACTGCTGCCCCAGCGGGGGACATCTCTAGATAAGCCTATATTTATTTCATATCCTTAAGTAAATACAGAGTTGTTTGTTTAAGATTCTTAAGTAAATATATATTTATTTTAAATCACTATATGCGCATTACTTTGTTTAAAATTTTTAGGTGTAACTATGTTTATTTCAAACCCTTGGAGAAACACAGCCTTAAATACATTCTTAGTTCAACTTTACGTAAACAGATAGTTTTAATACCATATTTTTTCGTTATATTTACTTTCCATAACAATATAAAATAGAAAACATTTAAAACTCTACAAACATTATATATATATAATTTCTAACTCGTAGTTCTTTGTGTATCAAAATGCGCGGTACGGAAAACAGTATTATGAGGGAACTTGTTTAATAGAACACCGATTATTCTCAATGACATACAGTCTGTCTACAGGAAGAACGGTTTAATGTGGTATTTCAGCTACAGTAACAAACGTCGTTCCATTTATTACCCGTGGAAACGAAATGCCCTTTAAAATTAAAGATATCTATCTTTTGTTGTATCGTTGATGAGAAAGACTTGTTAAATTTCACGGCAGTTTGTCTTGTCTTTCTTCATAAAAGTCCAATATTTTGTCAAATTACGGGTAGACGTAAGCCTAGCTAGTAGCATTCCACTATGTAGAATTAGGAATGAGACTAATAATAACAACAATATTTACACGTAGGTAAATCATACTATGTTAATGGAAGCACTAACTTTGTTTTTGCTCCCAAATGTAAAACAAATGAAAATTGATGCCATTTCTTTTGCACATGTCAATGTTTGACATAAATTAAATATTATAAATAACTATGTTTATAAAATTCACACAAGTTTTTATCGGTTGTACGTTGTATCCCACCTGTTGTAAACCTGGTGAAACGTGAATAAAATAAACAAAAAGTTTACTATGTACAACCGATAAAAACTTGGATGAATGTTTAGCATAGTTTCTTAAATAATATATACATACTGAAATTGGTAGATATTAATCAAACTTCGTGTTTAAAACGTATCTGAACATATATATGTAGCAGAAAAATAAAAATAAACACTGCTGTGCCTTAATAGAACATACACGTACTTTCAAAATTTTAGATGTTAGAAGAGGGTTTTAAAGTTCTGAATCACACTCAGTATCAATATTGACCGTTTATAAAAAAAATGCTACTCAACTGGATCAGCTCAAACTACAATATCATTCACTAGTTCATCAGGCAGTATATTTGTATACAGGTGTCTACTCAACTGGATCAGCTCAGTTTGAGCTGATCCAGTTGAGTAGACACCTGTATACAAATATACTGCCTGATGAACTAGTGAATGATATTGTAGTTTGAGCTGATCCAGTTGAGTAGACACCTGTATACAAATATACTGCCTGATGAACTAGTGAATGATATTGTAGTTTGACACCTGTATACAAATATACTGCCTGATGAACTAAGCTGATCCAGTGAGTAGTTACTTATATTGTAGTTTGGACACCTGTATACAAATATACTGCCTGATGAACTATACAAATCTATAAATCAACGTGTGAAATTACTTTATGATAGGTCTTTACACACTTTCTTCTCTTATGTGATTAGATATGTAAGGACTGGCACAACATATAAAGCTTGTTTAAGCTGAAAAAATAATATAAATTTTATAAAGCAGCATTTAGCCAGTGCGTCTACTAAGCATATAATTGTTCCAAAAGGATGTAAATAGCATGAACTTTTACTTATAAAATTGAACAAAAAAAAAAGGATTGAATAAGACGTGATCTTCAAGGTGTAGTATTCACTGATTTCCCTTACAATAATTGAGTAGGATAACTGGAAGCTCGCCAGTAAAATCTATTGTGGAACATAAATCTGACTTTTTACTGAGCGTTACACAAATAAAGAGACTGGACACAAATTTGTACACATAAGAATTAAATTGAAAGACGAGTGTAAATATGGCGCCTCTTCAGGAGAGAGAGATATGATGTTAAATTAAGCTAAGTGAAAGCTCTTAACAATTGAAGTTTAAAGTTAAGTTCTAGTTAAAAGAGTTGAAGTAAACAGTTTAAATGTTGTTAAGATCTTACAAGTAAGTTTAATCTAGACTGAGAAAATGTGGTATGATATACTAATAAGAACACAACTATTCATCATGTAACTGATGGTCACTTTAACTTTCAAATAATGGATGTTATAGTCCTGGGGCATCACACGACCTCCAATAGAAATTATTAGTGTCGTTGTTTATACAATATGCGCTTACAACAATATTTCCTCATACATAGCTCACGTAACGCTTTTGTTGACTGACTTAGTTCCATGAGCAGATGGGGCAAAATAGTGAAGTGGCTCCCTTGAGATCAAAATACTCAATATGCACAGAATATGTTGCATATCACATTGGTATGTTGGTGAAGAAATGCCTGGCAATGAAAGATTCAATGAATAAATAAGACTTAAAGCTTATATTCGCAACATTTGCACGCTTGCACAATTCATCAAAAGAGGGACATCGGAGAAGACGTGATAATAAGGGAAGGGATGTCGACAACAGAACACAGAGAGGAATAATTCAGGTTCAAAATATTTATAGTTAAAGTTAATATGCACGTGTGTAGCTCTTGCACTATGAAATTGAAGAGAGAAATTAATGAAGACCTGATCTTGAATGATGTTGATAGTGAAATACTTTATTAATTTAGATTCGTCTACCTCGTTATATTCGTAAAATAGTTTAATAATATTACATTTATGTATGTTCCTAATGCCAAAAAGATAGTTAAGAGCTTATACTCACTACCAAATGCCTTAAAGTTTAGGCATTATTTATACACTTATATCAACTAATTTTAGTGTTATTCTATTTGTGTCTGTTCACAACGATTACTGACTATTTTAATAACCAGAGATTGATAATATATTCAATCTTATTTTTCTAAGTATATGTGGCTCTGATTGACTCTAAAACTCGTCAGCATCATTTGTTCCTAGACGATTTCACTGTCGAATGTTTTTATGGATTCTCATTAAATTTACCGAAATTTCACAGTTTTCAGCCACATCTACAAAATATTCTTTTTTGGGAACCTTAGTAAATGGTAACTTAAAAAAATTACACATTTCAGTTACAACAAAAATAAACAAAATAAAACAACAAATGCGACTGCTTTATCTTTTTATAAGGAGTCAAAAGCAACGAGTTATGACAATTTGATAGTGAATTTACTAATGGTACAAAACAAAGAATATGATACCGCTCTTCTCACTGTCGTTGAACAAACTATCATCCATTGTTGCTGAATGATTCGAACTTGAACTTATCAATCAAGAGTACACATTTCCAGTTTTATTTATTCCATACTTGGAGTTCCATGGCTTTTCAACTTTAGTTATCTCTTCTTATCGACGGATTTCGAACAAATAACTACAAGTTCACAGAGACCACTCCGAGCAGTTGTTATCTGCATTACTGTTCTCGAGATAACATTCATACGTGTACTTACAGCATGGCTGATGGCAAGATTTATACACGACCGTGGTGATTCTCACAAATAACATATCCTGAGATATTTAGCATTACATCTGAATAGTTTCCGTTTTCTACATCAATCATTGCTATTAATAACAATGCCAGTTTTGCATCCTTTCTTCAGAGTCTTGCATACATCTCCTACTAAAATATGGATTATTGCTGCAATTTTTCGTTTGGAGTATCTTTGACGAGTCACAGCTTTGATTTGTATACATATGTCATGCGGTATTTCAGTTCTGAAAACCACAAATGGATTCCCACTATTACTACTGGGCATAAAATGACTGCCTGTAGTGTTATAGGCCTTATCCTTCTGTGGCATTTTCTGAATGGTTGAATGACAATCCATCACAATGTTAACTGTCAGCAAGTGATTGTATTCTGTTGTAGTTCATTTGCACACGATAAAATGATGGCATCCCCATAGTGTTTGAATTTTATGTATTTTTTCTCACCGTTTACATAATTATTTCCGGTACTTTATATTAACAATGCAATAGGATATGCCAGTTTCTAAAAGACAGTTCACACCGACAAAATTACATTAATAAATTTAACGGCTTAAAGTTTGTTAATTTTTCTAGAAAGTTCACAAGTAATTATCTTCACAATATAGTACAATACAGAGCAGCTATTTAAAAGCGGATTAGAAATTCTATTTCCAATAGAAGAAAAGGAATTCAAACATCGAAAATAAATATTGTTTTTGTGATTTGATAAAAATTTCAGTTTAAATTTTTTTCCAAAATAAATGTTACTACTATAAGAGACGAACTGCAAACAAAAAATGTTTACTAAAACAAACAAAGCTTTTTTTTCAGTACAGAGTTTAGGATTAACAAAAATCAATTAGGAAAAAGCTTGTCCAAAAATTGTCACGTGCAATCTAAACTTCCTTTTCGCAGTATTTCATTCTAGTTCATATTATTAGTTATAAAAAAAAAGCTTTCAGTCTCTAGCAGAGTTTTCATTTTCTAGGTAAGACATTGGAAATGGGATTACTGTCGGTTTTCTTATATAACCTTACTAGGTAACTTTCTTTATAAGATAGCGAAAATTAGTTATCACATATTTTTCACGAGCGAAGCCTAATCCTTTGAAAATGTTTCAGTATCATTAAAGCTTATTTCTGTTAAATCTGTTCAAAAGCAAAGATTACTCTGCATCTCTTTCGCTTGAGAAG